TTATTTATTATGGTTTCCTCCAATGTCTTATTCTTCTCTTTTTCCCTTTTCTTTTTCCTCTAGTACAAATTATGTCAACTTCCCCAAATCCAATAAAACAAATACCAGTTGAGAAGGCTAGGACGTGCAAAAGAGTCATTAGGGTAGATCCTACTGGGTGAACCTCTTCCTTTTGTATCTCTTGACTTTGATATCTCTTCCAGTCCTTTTACCTGGTAGCTGGTGGCTTCCTTATAAAAACAATCTACCCCTGCACAAATTAAAAAAGGATGATGAAATTAGGTTGGGAGACCAATTATCTATTTTAATAGTTCTCTTAGTAGCCTTTGTCCTTGTGTTTGAGGAACCAAAACACCAACCCATACCCATGACACTACACACATCTACCCACCAAAAAGAATTTTCTATAAATTAAAACCCCTTTATTTTTATTAGGGTAAAATACAAAAATCTCTTCTGAAGTTTCTGACAATCATAAAAACCTCCCCTATAGTTTCATTTTAACAAATAACTTCCCTGAACTTTTGAGAAACTCAACAAAAACCTTTCTTTCATCACTGTCTAAGACAGAAAACATTAGATTGATGCACCAGTTTTTTCCAAATATTCGTTCTACCATTTTATAAATTATTTTACATACAAAAATACTGAAATAATCCCATTTTAACTCAACAAAAACCTCTTTTAACAATCATTTCAGTAATTTTACATACAAAATTACTGAAATATGTTTTTTTTGTTGAGTTAAAATGGGATTATTTCAATAATTTTGTATGTCAAATAATTTATAAAAGGGTGGAATGGATATTTGGAAAAAATCAGTGCATCAATCTAACGTTTTCCATCTGGGACAGTGACAGAAGAGAGGTTTTTTTTTAGTTTCTCAAAAGTTCAGGGGAGGTATTTGTTAAAATGAAATTATAGGGGAGGTTTTTGTATTTTACCCTTTTTATTACTATCATTTTTAAATTATATTTATCTAATGCTGATGCTAAGATTATAAATATCAGTAGGGCGTATTGGTCTGTATCAGTGCTTTTTTTATATTTTATTTATTTTTTCAAAATCGGTTCAGAGGGGTCGGTTTAAGTCCCGACTACCCTTATATTTATCTAATGCTGATGCTATGGTTCTAAATATCGGTAGGACGTATTGGTCTGTTATGGTGTTTTTTTATGTTTTATTTATTTTTTTCAAAATCAATTCAGAGGGGTCGGTTTAAGTCTCAGCTACCCTTATATTTATCTAATGCTGATGCTAAGGTTCTAAATGTCGGTAGGAAGTATTGATCTGTATCAATGTATTTTTTTTATGTTTTATTTACCTTTTTTAAAATCAGTTCAGAGGGATCCATTTAAATCCCAGCTACCCTCTAAACCATGGCCTGACCCGATACATCCCTTGTAGGGGCATATCGGAAAAGCCACGATACAATACGTATCGACGAATACAGCCGATTTGAACCTTGGCTGATGCATACACCAAATTAAATCAGGAACAGGAAGTCTTGATTGGTAGTGAAGATCACACGTGGTGGTGATTGCGCCAGTTGCTTAGCCATGTCGGCTCCATCCATCATTGGTTATCAATGCAATTTAATTCAGTCTAGAAAGGTTTTATATAGACAGATTCGAGTCTATCAACCATGTCTATATTCTTATATATATATATTTGTTTTTCTTTTAGCTCAAAAAATGAGCCCCACTGTTTATTAAGCCCAAGTGTCCGTTTAGGAGGGTTTTCAGGCAGCAGCTTCTGGCTTTTGCAAGGTGGATCCCATACAAAAAGCCTAAGAGCTATGTTTGGTGAAAACCCCATGAGACCCCACTATACTTTTATTCAGTCGTGAAATTGATTTTCCGTGAAGCTAATTTTAGTAGCATCTTCAAAGCGGCTCAATAAAAGCAGTTCAATCAAAGCTAAAGCCCTCCCAATTAGGAGGAATGCCATTTTCATATTCCTACAATTAGACACCACTTTTAGCAATCAAACACCATAAAATAGAAAGTTTTAGAATACCATTCATTATCTTTGATCTTACATGTAATCAAGTGGATTCTACATTGAAATTTTTTCATTTTTAAAAAGCCTAAATAGGGTGAATCGACTATTCTTCTGAGCTCATTTGATCATTTATTATTTTTTTTTCTTTTTTCTTTTTCTTCTCAAGTTGTTCAAAGATGCTTTAATCTCTAGAGTTATTTGTATGCCTTGCAGCAAAGAGAATCACTTGATGTTAAGCTTAAAATCCAAATTTGTAATCCACTGCCTCACCTGATGCTAAGTTCTATTATTTTCTTAACTGTGGATTCGCAATAGTGAAACTGCAATATGTTGTTTTTCATTGTGTTCTAATGGAATTTTATTTGAATAAACAAGAAAATGAAGAGAATAATGACCATAATCACTTTAACTTTGACCATTTTGGGTGGGTTGAGTGACCTAATGGGCTTTCAGGCCCAGCCCACTTACGTCCTGGGTCGATTTGTACTCATAGCTCATTAACTCTTCAGGCCCATCAAATAAACTAAATGGATTAGGTCAGGGCTGGAGCTTAGAAAACAGACAGGTTTCAGACTCCGGATCTCCTGCCCAGGAGAACTCTACCCACGTCTACCCACAATACACTACCCCCTATGAATTGAGAACACCTCCTCCTGCATAGATATTCTCCATGTATGACTGTGATGTTATGTAGATAGACGTGGGCAGAATTTGTGTGAACAGAAGATCCAGAGTCCAGGTTTCACCGATGGGCATTAGGATCATATTGAGCTGAGTCATTATAAGTTACAATTGTACAGGTGGAACGCTTAGTACTAACTCCCGTGGTTTGTCAGCTGTTTCATATTTAGAGAGGATAATGATCCACACTATCAGATGGGACCTGCTCAAGAGAAGGAACAGTTATACCAGGAAATCAACATAATCACATGGCTACTTAGAGCTTTCTTTCTGACTATTCCAATGGTGAGTCCGGATGCTGTAAATGTGGAATTAGGGTTGCAAACGCTATTTGATTGTCCAAATTTGAGTTCCAATTCGACCCATTAAAAGGGTGATCCGAATTTGATCCATTATAATTTGATTTGAATTCTATATGTTGATCTATACTTAAGATGCATTTTTATTTCATTTTGTTAATAAAATATAATATTTTGATCTGTTTAATTTATTTATAATATTCAATATCTGATTGCAATCTGAATTCGATTGGAATATGATACAAATCCAATCGATATTATTCAATTCAAGTTTGAAAATAAATGAACCAAATTTAATTTGGACCTACCTATATCAGATTTAATTCAATCCATTTGCAGTCCCAATGGAACATGGCCCAGACCCAGATCCCAGTTTCTGCCTAACTTGAACATAATTTCCTTGTTGTTTTGAGTTCCACTAAAGAATTATCTGATTACTGTTTAAATGTTGTTGTAAAGATCACATCGGCGTCCGGGCATGCATATCCTATATGCATATCGTTTCTCTTATTTGTCATTGGGAGATGTTCCTAATACATAGTAGAGATGTACTGTAAGGTTATATAGGATAATGATAATGCTTTACACCAGTCATAAAATAAATGGGGCCCATGAAGGAGATTGAATGGTTGTGGATTCATATATTTTATGATGTGGGGCGTTATCATTTATTCTACAGCTGGCCCACATTTATAGCTTAAAGTTAAGGTTTTTTTTTTTTTTCTTAAAGCAAGGTTAAAGATAATCAATTCATACATGTTGTTCACAAGAAATAATCCACTCGAAACCTCTTTTAACAAAGATGAAAAATTAAAGCAGAAAATCTGTAAATTTGACTACACTGAGAATTTCATGAGTCCCACATGGGTGATTCTTTTTTTTTCTTCTTCTATTTTTAGCTAAAGAAATGGCAAACGATTGAACGACTAAAACCATCTGACCTATAGGCTATATATAGAGAGATTATGCACTCAGACCATATAATTTACGAACAAATTAAACTATAATATGCGAATCAAATCGTGATTACCAAAAGAAACAAAGATCTTATTCAAATCAATTAGAACCTTATACCGTCTCATGACTTAGCTAATTATAATAAACAACATTAATTAATTAAGAATTAATACATCTCGAAGAAAATTGCAATGGTCAATGCAGCAGACAAATTAACCGTGCTCGGTTAGTGAGGAGAATTTATGCTTGTCTGTTTGGCCAAGTCTTCGTGTCATATGGTTGAAGTAGTAGCTAGCTAGAGTCTAGACATGTTACAACATGATTTGCCGAGGTGCTGAAGAACAATTATTGCCGTCTACTGGTATAGTTTAAGAAGAAAAACCTTGTGTGGTTCATGAATGTTGACAACGCTGCCTTCCTTATCCCAACATCAAGACCTAAAATTCTTTGCTCTTGTTCCCACTAACAGTGACAAAGTATGGTGACCCAAGCTTCTTAATTTCTTGGAAACCATCCAGAGGTCTCCTCTGTGGAGACACACGGCTAATTACACCTCCATTAGCGCTCTCTCTCTCTCATAGAATATGCATTGAATTTGCACTGGGGAAGGAATAATCCAGGGTGTTATTTTTTAGTGGGGGGGGAGGGAGGAGGAGATAGAGATGAAAGAGGGTTTCTCAGGGTTTTGGTATATATATGGAGGAATCATGTGGATGCATGTGCATTTTAGTTGGAGAACATGCCCCAAAGCAATAAGCCTCCTCAGTCTTTGATTGACCCCATTCCCTTGGAACCTTTTTAGGAAATTTTTCTCCCCAGTTTGGACCCCACCAAATGATTTCACATTATCCCTAACAATCACCAACCCATTTTCCTAAACCATATAAAAAACCCTCCATCCCCCTTTGATCCCATTGAGCAATTCTGCAGCTGCCTCTTTTCTTCTTCTTCTTCTTCTTTACAAATTGATCAAATCTGAAGAAGAAATTGTCTTCAAGGTTTTTCAGGAGAGGTGACCTGGGTTTTTATCATTTAGTCTTTTAGTTACATTCTTGAATCATGGGTGCTTCTCCAAAACCTTCCCTTCTTCCTTTTGATTCAAAAGATGGGACAATTGTTACCACCAAGTCTTCAAAAGGTTCAGCTCCCCGCCGGCGTAAAGTTGTGGAAGCGCAGGCGAGGAGACGAAAGATGAAGCCAGGTGGTGGACGATATGCATGGAGTAGAAGATCCGGAGGGACTGTGAATGGGATAGAGAGAAGAGTTAGAGCACTGATGAAACTTGTCCCAATTCATGAGAAGGTTTCAGGGTTGGACGAGCTTTTCATGGAGACTGCTGATTACATACTGCTTTTACAAATGCAAGTGAAGGCCATGCAGGTTATGGTCAAGGTGTTAACCGGCTCTAACGAGTAATTGATTCAGTTGTAAAGATTGATATATGGGTTTTCTCATTTTTCTATTTCCCTGTGACTTGTAGAACTGGATTTTGGTTTGTTTTGTCTTATCTTCAGAGTGAAATGGGTTTTAATTTGTTGTATCTACCCATTTCATGTTGTAAACAGATTTGTTTACTTTTCCAAATCTAACATGGTTAAATTATTGGCAAAATTTATGGTCTATTCGTTGTATTGTGGAACAAAAAACCTTAACGTGCAACTGATATTAATGAACGTATTATAATTGAACTCTAAATTATTTGGATTATTGAATGGGGTGGAGTGATGGACATGTTTAAGAGTAACAAATAAAATAGTGAGATTGGCTAAGTTTGAACCTTGTATTTTGTATTATTTAGTATACATTTGTACTGTATATATTTGTATATATTTATATTTGTACTCTTTCCAAACTGAGACTTTACAATTTCCTTCAAGATAACAAATAGAATGCATTCAATGTTTTAAGCAAATCTGCAAATGATGTTATCTCTTTGCTTCTTTCTTTTATGATGGTAAAAATCTTACATTTATAATCTAAACACACTCAATGGCCCTACATATAGTAAGCACAAGGGCAACAAATTATTTGAAATTTTAATACTGCTATATTTCTTGTTATAAATTTAATTAAATTATATTTATTCCTGTAGTGATGAAATTACTTCTTTTCCTTGATTGAGTGGCCACGTTAAAAAAAAAAAAACCCAAAATATGATGTGGCCATATCAAATTAAATCAACCTATGTGGTGTGTCTATATCAAATTAATTTGCATAAAGTCATAATATCATAACAGGAAGTAAAATCAATGGGCAAGAGAATGAGTTCAGCTTTAGTCGGTGCAAAGCCTGTTCGAGCATCCTTTACTGTCTTGCATTGAGAATATCTCCGTACTTGTGTACTTTATTTCATAGGGAAATATTCCTATGTAAGATTGGAAAAGATTGTTAGAACGATGTGGGCACGGGTTTGCCCCGATAGAAGTCGACCTCCAAGAGAATATCCTCCAAGGAATAAAGCTTTCCATCATGACAATTAGAATTTTGAGATAATAAAATTGTATTTAATAAATTATAAATAAGAATAATTTTCCAATTAAAAAGTATATTTTTGAAAGGTAAAGGTAATGCTTTTATTTAATGCCATAATTTGGTTGAAAAGTTTGAACTATGTTAACAAAGATATAGGGCTACCAATGGGTAAGGTCTTGGCCGGGACTCGGGACAGGGTGTCCCAGTTCCAAACCGATTATTAATTGGGATAAAATCATACATCTAGAACCATCCTAATTTATAATTGAGATAATCGGGTCTGGCTCCATAAACCATATTACACATTTATACTGACAGATGTAATTATTTATATAAATAATAACATAAAACTTGATTTGTGATAATATAACCATAATAAAAATGACATCAAAATAGTAAATTAATTATATCTTAATAAATCAAGTGTTTTAACTAATTATGTATCAACTTACCATCTCAGTTATAAATAAAACATAATAAAAATCACAAAATAAACAAGAATTTTTTATATAGTATTAAGCAAATAATTAGTTTGGGTCTGAACTAGTTTGCAACAAATAAGAACCATAACCAATCCAAATTAATTGAAAACAAAACAACTTGTTATTGCCTTTTAAAACAAAAATAGACTTCAAGAACATATTTTTGTTTCTTTTTTACTGATGTGGGAATTTCAAAAATAAATGAAAAACAAAAATCTAAGAAATTTTTATATATTATTAAGAAAAAATAACCAGTTTGGGCCTGAACTAATTCATAACAAATAAGAACCAAAACCAATCCAATTATTAATCGAAAACAAAACCAACTTGTTCTTGCCTTTTAAAACAAGAATAGACTTCAAGTACATGTTTTTGCATATAATGATGTGGCAATTTCAAAAACAAATGAAAATGAAAACACTCAAATAAAAATTAAAAAAAGTTGAAAATGGTTGTAAATTATCTTTTAAAAAATAAGCTTTAAACAACAAATACCAGAGGATATGAAACATATTAAAACATAAAAATGGGACAAACCTGCTGAAGTTAATTCTAAAAAGCTAAAAACCGGGCAACTAAAAAGACCATTTTGGCTGCTGGTTTCCTCTCTGTCAGTTGGGAATCCAGTCCGGTCCAATACTACAACATTTCTTTTATATAAATCCAACGCGTCATGACTCATCTGCTCCTCCTAGTCCTCGTTTTACTACAGGAATGATCTTGGGCCTGGGCTTGGGCCTTCGAGTTGCAAGCTACCATATAAAAGTTTTGAATGACTACCATATCCATATAAAAGTTTAGGTCTCTCTCTTTCTCTCTCTCTCTCCTAACAAAGAAATCAAATCGACCCATACAGTTCATTAGATCTTCCGGTTTGGATTATCGATTTTGGATTTTCATGAGCACCCCTACCTTCATTTTCTGGACTTTTTTTAAACTACTGGTTAAGGACCACTATGCAAGTCTTGTTGCAGAATTAAGCATAAAGATTAAGGCTGCATTTGGAATCAGATGATGTTTCATACTGAATCAGAAAGTGATCGTTGCTTTTTTGATAATAGTGATGAGTGGAAGAATGTAAAGTTTTAGATCCATAAAATTGATGTAGTTTTTACTTCGATTGTCAATGTAAAACTTTAGAGTTGATGAGGATTTACATTGATTATCGATGTAAAACTACACTCCATCCAAATGCACGCAAAACTAAACCGGAGTATAGTTTTACGTTGATAATAACTACACCCTCTTTTCAAACATATACAAAACCGAACCGATGTAAAATTCTTGATTTACATCACATCCAAATGCAGCCTAAGGCTCAATTTGGAAGGAGTACAAATACAAATATGTACTATATAGATACATACAAAAGATAAAGTTTTGCACTCTACAAATTTGTATTTGTACTCCTTCCAAACTGAGCCTAAAGTACCTTTCAATCACTATTGGTGGTGGTATGTATAAGGCTTCCATTGTTCATGGGGCTGCAAACGGACATGGGGTGGTTTTCTTCACTGTTTTTCAAAACCGGACCGGACTGGACGGTCAAACCAGAAAAACCAGGAACCAGTCACCTAAACAGTTCTGTTTTCCTCCAAAACCGCTTTTCCCTCAAAACCGTTGATTTTGGTCAACAAACCGTTGAACCAGCCGGTTAACTGTTCGAACGGTTTTGACCATTTTCCAATTTTTTATTTTTTTTTGTCAGAACGGGCCGACGGTTCGGATCGAACAGTCGGGCTGTTCGAACCGGTAACCGGACCCCTGACTGGTTCGTTTTTAAAAGCATGGTTTTCTTATTCGTTTATATTCATATTCAAATTGAATTTTATTCATTGGGTTCTAACTAAATTTGTACTGAATCAGATATTGGAATTATTTAATAAATTAAATTAGAAATGATCAAAATAGTATATATTTTTAATAGAATGAACTAAAAATAACTTGGTGCTGCATATCATTAACAAAATATGTTTAAATAAATTTTATGAAATTTGAAAATGAAAAAATCAGTGAATAGTGAAAACATACTATTCAAACCAACCGTTTGAGTGGACGAAATTGAAATTCATTCCCATTTTTGGTGAAATGACATTTCCCCATTTCTCTCACTTGGAATGAGAATCCCATTCCAGTTGAATCTGATTCCCATTTTAATCAAATAAATAGGGAATAGACCATTCCGATTCCCATTTTGACTACAAACCAAATGTACTCTTTAAATCGAATTGAATCGCTGACAAAAAAATAGCAAATTTCTTACAGTAACCTTATGGTCTAGCTAATTGACTAACTCTACCCTTATTGTTTACATGGTCTTAGGGTAAACATATGACATTATGTGACAATTATCTAAAACCTCCCTTTCCAACTTTCACTCACATATGACATCATTGACCAATACATTTTACAAAAATTCTAAAAATACCCTTTAGATGCATTGATTCTCTATCTTCTCTCTCTCTCCTCATCTTGTTCGCACACAATCAATTGCCAATGAAGCCACCGTCGCTGCTGCAACCTTTGAAAGCGATGGCTCTTCTTCGTATCCAACTCAAGATGCCAGCAATGAGTATCTCAACAATGGCCATGAGAGCTGGCTGGCACAGGTCTGGTATTTCTTTGTTGTCTGTGAAGTAGACCTATTCATGGGCCGAGTGTTTACTCTTCATGAATAGAAATTTGTTAGGCCCGAGCCCGAGCCCGACCCTAATAAAAAGCCCGAAGCCCGATGGTGACTGAGTTCGCCGGAGATGAGTTCGCGGTGACTATGAGCTGCGACTTTAATAGTGAAAAGTGTGTCAGTTCGCGTATGAGAGAGAGAGAGAGAACTCACTGTCGTCGCCGGTGTTTGAGATTTGAAAGAGAAGTGAGAAAAAAATGAGAGAGAGAAAGAGAGGAGAGGACTCACTGTCGGAGTTGTTGCGTTGGTGAATGTTCGTCGCCTCGCCGGTGTTTGAGATTTGAAAGAAAAGTGAGAAGAAAAACGAGAGAGAGAGAGAGAGAAGGAGAGTACTCATTGCCGGAGTTGTTGTGCCGGTGATAGTTTGCCGCCTCGCCGGTTGTGTGGTTGCCTGAGAGTGTGAAGACTGAGGAGGATGTGAAGACTGAAGAGAAGAGAGGTTCGACTAAGGGGAAAGAGGTGAAAGAGAAGAGAGGTTCGGCTTAGGGAGTTAGGGTTTTTTAAGTTTAGTTTATAGGTTGGGTCAAGCCGGGCTATTTTGGCAAATCCCGAGCCCGGATCGAATTTATTGCAGACCGGAATTTTTGGCCCGAGGTTATGCCCACAGGCTTATTTGCGTATTCAAGCCCGTCCGAGGGCCGAGCCGGCCCGTTGGGCCACCCGGCCCATGAACAGGTCTACTGTGGAGAGGCCAAAGACCTTATTGGTCTATTAAGAATCTATTCTTTAGACTCTCATCCTTTCTGCTATATTATTACAGAGAAACCTTCAATAATCTTCATCATTTCTGTTAAGTGTTCTGTTTCCCCCAATAAAATACAGACGTATCTGCCATTAATCTAATGAGGGGCTGTCAAGATCAACAATTGGGGTTATGTATGGCCTTTCTTTCGCTGATGTCTCGTTTAGAAAAGAACACACGGAATAGGCCATGCCACCTATCCCATCTTCCTCTTCTTCATCATCGTCACAGTCACCTGTCATTCTCCCATCATTACAATCGGCAAAAACCAATCCCAACGACTGAAAGAATAATGAAAAGAAGCTTATCAGCATGTTCGTCATACCTTTTACTTCCCCTCTTCCAAAAACACTAGGTGCCCAACAACCACTCTAGCTCCTCCGAATCCAAATCCAGTTGATGTAAATTCCCAATCAAACTTAACCCCCAGATTTTTCTGACAACTGTTGCTGTGGCAATGAACTCTCAAAAACAGTGCAATTTTTCAGCAATGGTGACCCTCATAAGAAAGAAGTTGTTGTAAATGTTTACATTTGACTTCCTTGTGGTTGTGGTATCATCCCCACAAGATTGTTCCACGAGAGGTTCATATATGAAAGAAATCTAAGGTCTGTCAATTCTGAAGGGATTTCCCCAGTCAACTTGTTATCTGAGTGGACCAACGACTCCAGCTGTTTAATGCTCTCAAAAGAGAGACCTAATCAGCCCCCCACAAGACTGCCCCCCACCACGTCCCACGGCATATCTCCGCCGTGTATTAGAAATATCTCCTGACGAAGGAAATGAATGGTAGTCGAGAAAGATTCTGGCTGTTGCCGCGGACGAACAACAGTGGCTTGATTGCAATGGCTGTGTGTGATGATATTGGTGCAGGAGAACTTTGGTTGTGGGGGAGAGGGAGAGAAAGCAGAACAAAAAGAATAAGGGTAAATCTCTTAAATTATTCCTACTGTTTAACGTAATGACATGCGGTATTCCTACTGTTTGGCTATTGTCTTAAGTTTTGATAATTGTCATCGTTAAATAGGGACGAAAAAATTGATTTTATGTTTTTACCTTTTAACTCTCACTCAGATGAAATCCATTTTGCAAATTACATTTTTACTCTTCCTTAACTAGGGATCTAAACACACTCCTCCAATCTGCCATTACTGTGAAACCTTTTCCGACCTTCTCCCACTGTCACCTGTAATCCGCACAGGTGTATCCGTCACCCCCTGAATGGACGAGAAAAAAAGGAGGGATTGAGATTTCAGAGTATTTGTTTGGTGGGTACCTCTTTCTCAACTGGAGTACTGATTGCGTAACTACAGATTGACCAGAGCTCAAAACAAATCCACATCTGGGTTCTTCTTTTTCTTAATAGCGTTTCCGTGTTGCTTTTTTTCTTCTTTGGGGGTATCATTTCAATATGGTTTCCCTGTTTTCCTTACAGGCCAGTGTCAAGGCAGCAACCGTTCCACTCCCTGTCTTTGGCCAAAAAAAAAAAAAAAAAAAAAACAGAAACTACGAGATTTGAACCCAGAAAGAGCTGAAAACGAAGAAACATTGTTCTCAGGAAAATTGAACCTTTTCTGAAAAACAGATATCAACTCCCTAATTCTTCTCCCCTTCTCGCCAAGAATGTTCTGTGTAAACCGACGCCGGAACTCCATTAACGCCTTCAGATAAGCTAATGGAGTTTCCTTGGCGGAGGTACACTGCAAGCTAATGTAGTTTTGATCAACGGAAACTCCATTAATGCCTTCAGTCGGAGGTACACTGTAGTTTGATTCTCTGTGTATATTCTTGGGTTTGATTCTCTGTCCGATCGGTTTCGGCACCAGCTGGCATCTTCGTCCGCCCCCATCCCCTCTTCATTCTACAAAACAGGGATGGTGGATTTAGTCTCAACATATATGGGACCAACGCGTAGTGCTGGAGGTGGTGGTGGCGGCGGCGTGTGGATGGCGGTGCTCGTCCGCTAGCGTCTATGACATACCAGGCATGGCATCTGCAACTCCCAGATCTGGGCAATATACAGTCCAACGCCAATGTGCTCTTGATTTGCAACTCTCAGATATGCTTCAAGCAAAGGGAAGGGATATGAAGGACGACTGCCTAAAGTTCGAGCTCTGAGAGACAGACGAAAGAGAGAGAGACTTGCAGCGGAAGAGCAACGGGACAGAGCACCGGGATGCATGGACAGGAGCTTGTGACTTGTCGAAAGAGAGAGATTTGCAGCGGCAGATCGAAAGAGAGATAGAGAGAGACTGCCGTCGACTAGCACCGGAAACCGAGTGGCCGCTGTTGCATGTGACGACAGAGCCAGTGAGCCCAAACTAAAACCAAAAAGTACATTTTTCACCGTGAAAGGATAGTTTGAGAATTATGGATAAAATTATCAATCATCTGATAGATGATTTAACACGCAAACATGATCCGACGGTCAAAAAGAGAGGATTTGGACAATTGTAAAATAACTTAAGAATACCACAGACAATAACTAAATAATAGGGTACCACGTGTCATTATGCTAAACAGTAGGGATAATTTAGAAATTAGAAGAAAAACTTGGAAAGTGGAATCCCCAAAGGGCAGTTAAACCAAAATTGACATGCTCTTGGGATTCTTTACAGTTTACATGTGATATAGCTCAGGTGGTAGAATGGTGTAGGTGTGCACATTTCTGCCACTCAAATTTGCCAAGATTCAACCTAACAAACGAATGCTACAACTCAAAAAAGAGACTTCTAGCTCTCTTGTTTACTCTGAGAAATGAAAAATAAAATGCAATTAGTCCAAATCCAATACAGGCTAATTCACTAAGGCGCAAGGTCCAATGGGATGCCATTCCTGAATTGTTCCATGTAGGGGTGTCGATTGGACTGGATTTGGTCCAATTCGATCCAGTCCAATGTAAGTCCATTCTAAATGGACCAGGTCCAATCCAATTCAATGAATAATTTGGACCATTTTGAATTGGTCCAGTTCAATATTTGGATTGCTCAATTTGTTTAAATTCATTTTAATTTAGATTGGTTTCAGCCCAAACCCCATCCATTGACACCTATATTCTTATCTTATATCAATGGACTGGATATTGGCTTAATCCAACCAAATCCAATATAAATTTATTATGAATGAACCAGGTCCAATCCAATCTAATAAATATTCTGGACTGAATTGGTCCAATCTACTATGTCTTTTTGGTCCATCCAATCCGTCCAAATTAATTTTGGACTGGACTGGACCCCGTCTAGTCCAAAACTGGTCCAATGACACCCTTAGTTCAACGAGCACATGTTCTCACACTAAACAAAGAAAATGGCAGAACAAGATTTATGCAAACCAATCCCCTTATTCATCAAGATGGAAGATTTGGTTCTGATATTCTTTTTGGAATTGTGCAGAAAGGGATGAACCTCGCAAAGGTTGATGTTGTAGCGACAGCTGTAATGACGATTCCGTCAGTTAACAGACGATTGAGTCGACGTTAATGTTTTATTTTGAAAAAAAAAAAGGTAAAATAGTCTTATTATCCTTCGTTTAAATGGTAAAGAGGTTTTAGATAATTGTCAAAATTCTTGGAGTACTCCAGTTAGATAATTAGCTAAACCATAAACGGATAGTTTAAGAAATTTGTCAAAAAAAAAAGTCGAATTGAATCACATTATCGGATCGGATCGGATGATGTGGATGCAAGTATAAACGGATCGAATTCGGATTATCTATTGCAATTCGGATTCGGATAAATGGATATACATTTTTGCAGCCCTACCTCGTTGCAGAATTTTCTTCTGTAATTCGACTCCGTCGTTCTCAGTTGTCACGTCTTTGAAAGATTCAGAGCCCTTCTTTAGTTCTGTTGGAAAAAGACCAGAGAGTTCAGTTGTTTGTTCTGAGAGTAGAGAGGTAAAGTGTATTCTTCTTCTTCTTCTTATTTCCGTCTAAAATGGCTTCTTCATCAACTTCTGCGGTTTCGGAACGGAGGGGCATTCCAGCAGCTGCATTCGTAGAGGATGTTCAAACATATCTCACACAATCAGGCCTGGATGTCAACTCTTCCCTTGCGTTTCTTCAAGAAAGGTCAGGTTTCTTTTTTTACTTGTTTCTTTCATGATTTTAGTGGACCACTATATTTTGATAATTTCAGTGTGGATCCTATTTGGTCTCCAGCTTCGACTGGCGATTTGGTCGGAGGTTTTGGTGATGGGTCGTATTTATAGTTTTAGAGGAATGGATACTTCAGTGCTTTAGAGATCATCTGTTTCTCTCAGTTTCTGTTAATAGATTGATATGGATACTTGGATAACAGTTGAAGTTCTAATTTGTATCTTCAAAGCTGTTTTTTTTTTTTTCTGCTTTATGTTTCTTTTTGATTAGCCAACGTAGGTGTCACAAATATGGAATTTGAGGAACATCTGTTGGATTGATGACCGAAGCACGCTAAATAATTACTAGCCTAACTTTCGAATAATTTGCATAATCTAATAACCAAGTGTGTAATCCAATAACTTAACCTCGGACTGGGAAACCCTTTCCTCCCGAAATTTCACATTCCACTTCAACACGAGTGATTGGCTATTTGGAAGTCCAGCTTATTGATGCATATCATTCCATTACCACTGAAATACTTTAGCTATCCTATCTAAAAAAATAGGAAAAAAGACAATAGTTAATGATCTTCAACCCTTAAAGCTGTTGCTTAAAAAATAAAAACAAAAAAACTTTAAGCTGTTTACTCTTACATGTTACATGCTAATCTGGCATCCCAATCCCTCATTCGACACCTATACTTTTTCTAAGTCCCTTCTCTAGGGAAACGGTGGATCTTTTGATGTTGTACAGATCCTTTTACTGAATTAGGGCCTGCATCTTCTCATGTACTTCTTCTTTCTTTAATGAAATTTGGTTATCTTTCCCTCAAAAATTAGGGCCTATGAACCTCCTAATGCCCCCCCCCCCCTTGCCATTAGGAGATACTATTCTTCTCCTGCAAATGGGCAAACTTTATTTAGAGATTCTACTCTTTCTTTTTTGGAGTTCCCACATTCCAGCCTTCCTCAACAGCAGTTTTTTTTTTTTTTTTTTTGAGAAGTAAAGTATCAATTCATTAAAAGGAAAGAGTACAACCCGAGGCTGTACAATTAAAGAACAAGGATAGCACTCAAACTACATGACCCATGGGAGATACAAACAAGTTTTTAAAGTCAAAAAGAGAGTTGTAAAAAGAACTGTCCACTTTTAGCTGGATCGAAGACCAGGAAAGCAGCTTTTCCACAATCTTCTGCTATATATCCTCTTCGTGACAGCTTTTGTGTTGAAAATTCCTTGAATTTCTTTCTTGCCATATCGACCATAATACAGCACCTGGAACCATGAACCAAAGGACTTTCCCTTTCTTGCTAAGACCTTGAGCCCTCCAATTGTTGACAAAATCATCCATTGTTTTTGGGCAGCAACTTTTGATTGCAAAAATTCTGAGAATCCTTATCCATATGTTGTGAGTGAAGCTGCAATGCAGTAACAGGTGGTCAACGTTCTCATCATCACTGTTGCACAAAACACATCTTTTAGAATCAATCACCACACCCCTCCTAACCAGTTTGTCTCTAGTAGGAATCTTATTGAGGTAAGCGACCCAAATAAAAAAAGAGACCTTTGATGGAATGTGTTTGCACCATATTACTTTCTCAGGAAATTCCAGGTCATCTTCCTCTTGTGCCAATTTACCATAGAAAAATTTCACCGAGAATTGGCCTTTGTTATCTGCAATCCAAAGCATTTTGCCTTCTGTATTGGGGTTTCTTGACAGTGTAGCTGGCTAGAGATAAGTGGAAGAGGAGAGAAGAGAAGAGAAGAGAAGAGAGGAGAGAAGAGAGAAGGTTTGCAATGTAACAGTACTGGCGGCGCCAGTGTTTATTTTACTATATATAGGGCGACAGAAATAACAAGGGAAAAGACCCTTGTGCCCCTGAGTACAATAACAGACATAACAGAAATAAAAAACGAAATAAAAAACACTTTAATTAGCCAAACAGGCCCTAACAACTGCAACTAAGTTATTTTAACATTATTCCAACAGGGTTGATTTGAGTGTTGTACAGCCTTTGAAGAAGCCTACTAAATGGCTCAATTCCCAGTCATTCAAAGCCCTTCTGAAGAGGATTCCACACAAGTACCCCATTTTGATACTGGATATATTCAGCTACTTTTGCCTCCTTGTTTGTTGCAATTGCAAATAACTCTGGGAAGTCATCCTTTAGTACATTGTTACCATTCCATCGATCCAACTAGAAATGAACTCTAGTACCCCTTCCCACTTGAAAATTGATTTCCATGCTGAAAGCATTATAGCTTTTTTCAATTCCCTTCCAGACTGAGCAACCATACAACTGATTTACAGCAGAAATTTTCTCTTCTTGGACAAGGTTCAGAGGTAGCAAGAAAGCCAAAATTGTATGGAGCTGCATTCCATTTGCTTTGTGCTGGACTTTGTGGTGTGAGAGGAACAAGAGGCTCTTTGAGGATAAAGAGAAGAGTCTTGAAGCTGTGATAGCCTTAGTTGGAAAACTCGTCACAGGCTGGGTCCTTGAGCAAGCAAGAAATTCAGACTTCACAGAAAATTTCTGGGATCTTCTTGAGATCCAAGCTTGTAATGCAAATCTTTTTAATTCGGAGTTTTGGACTGATGTACTAGTGTGTCGCCTTGACACCTGATCTGATTGTACTTGTTTTCTTTTTAATAAAATCTTTTTATCCTTACTCTTCAAAAAAAAAAAAAAAAACCTCCTAACGGCTTCTAATTCCCTGTCCTTGTTCCCATCCTGTCTAACCAGATGCAATTGCAACTCCCACCCTAGCCACTCAAAGAGAATTCCATGGTTGAACTGTAAGGTGATGTAAAATAGGAGAATATTGGCTCTTCAGTGGAGCATACCTTTAAGCAATGAATTTCATTATTTCGTGTTGATCTACAAGACATAATACTTGATTGCTTGATTGCTTCAAGCTCTGTAGCCATATCATCCAAACAGGGTTTCACTATCTTATGTTGGCCTTCAATACATAATATTTATATTTTCCCAATTCCACTATCTTATGTGAACTTGGTAAGCTCTATTTTTGTTTTTTGGGACCTCTATAGGTTGCATTGATAGGAGACGGGCAACTTGGACCAGGTTCAGTAAAAAACTGGAGGCACCCAACTTGACCTCTAGGACAGTGTGGACCTCAGAAAGGGTTTATAGGCTGGAAAATCCTATCATAATATGAGGTTTGGTTGGGTTAATTTCGAATCCTTGTGCAATTCGATCTAACTCAAGCAAAAAAGAAAAAAAAAATTAATATTATATTGCTTATTTGTATATGCTTAAGAGCATAGACACCTTAAAATTTTGGATAATTTATTAAATCAGTAACCAGTTATAAAGAGATTCAGTAAAATAGTAAGAACATATTAAAGCACCATGTCCTTTCCCCTCATTCCCCATCCATTACACCACTACCTAACAGTCACTTCAATCTCCGGAATATGATGCCCCAGAGGGTGCCTCAGTCTTGAGCCTCTTGAGAGAGACAACATATCAGCACAGATGAAATCATCGGACCAACTAGCCCTAAATACGCCTGAATGATTCTCACCCTTGTACCTCCTGAAGGCCCTGAATTGCCCCATAAGAAACCGTAGGAGTTCAAGACTGCTATCAGTCTTGATCACTAAGAAACTTTAGGTTCGATGAGAAGAGAAAGTGAAGAAGAAGTAGAAGAAAGAGTGGTGAGAGAGCAGTAAAACACAGGTTTTGAGGAGAAGAACAGAATCTCAACATTCTGTCGCCGCCACTT